ATACTGAGCATCTTTCTCTTTGACACCATGTCTGATATCCCACGTGATCTGTCAAATACTAATGCATGAAAATCCTAACCTCAAAAAAATCACCCGATACTTAGCGTATCAGCCGCGAAGTCACCATTCTTTTGTGGCAGTATACGCTTTACTTCCTCGCGTAGTTTTTCTTGTTTATCGGGGTTCTTGGCCAAACAGAGCAGGACACCAACGGTGAGTGAAGTAGTCTACAATATGGAAATAAAGATAGTTGTTCAGGATACTTAAAACTTTAAAACTTACTGTATCGACGCCGCCTAGCAGTAGATCCATTGCCATCACTGTAGCGATTTTCCTATCGATTTTCAGCAACTTCTCCAAAATGCTCTTTTCGTTCTCTTCACGCTCGATACCCCGTTGTTGCTCCTCTTCTAGTTTAGCAATTGCCTCCATGGTATACTTCGATGTTACATCTTGTATGTCATCTAATGCTCGCATCAAACGTTTAAACTTCGGCGTTGCCACAATACGCCAAAGCGATGGTGTGTATTCTAAATCTAGTGTAAGATACATCCAATCCCTTAAAGCTGCAAAAAGCTTTGAAGCATCGGTGAAATTTTCACTATTTTCGCGCAACAACCCAAGCGGCTTGTCCAGTGCGACCAGAGCCACTGATTCGAGTGTCCAATGCTGTATATACTCCTTAAAGTCATCGGGCATTTCTAAATTTTTAGTATCGCGTATCACGCGTATTCTGCGGTAGTTCAAATTAGAGCTATGTAAAATGCCCCTCGAAAGTACGTCTTAAAATACCCACCTTTCTACAAATTCTTGGTTCACCAGCGCCATTTTGTTGAGATATATTTTAATATTTTTCGGCTGCATTAGCAATGGATTAACGACCGTTCGAAATGAGCTCCATTGCTCACCATGACTGTATAATAGAGGAATAAACTGAATTTTAGTATGAAAGGTTCACCTCTTTGGGTTTGTGCTACTCATAGTGCCGTCTTCCGATTTTCATATATTTATATATTTCAGTCGAAATACGAGTCATCGAAAGTTGAACTCAACGGATGGACCATCTGAGATTTAGCCGTATTTAAAAGTGATAATCCTCTAAATATAAATGTCAAAGAATATTCTTTTGAATGATGATAAACATTCATTATTAATTTAAAGTTCGATGGTGAAAATCTAAATGGTACACCCTTTATGTTACATACAAGAAGAACTTAAAAGCGATACAAAAGTTCTCACATAACTTTTAAGATCACATACATATTTACGAAATACCAAAAAACGGCTGGAAATATAGTCGAATTTTTCTACTTTTCACCAGCTAAATTTTCAATAATTACGTTGCAAGAATTCCCTCGACGTCCCCGTAGAAATCAGCGCGCATTTTGTTGCGATGATAACGCAATGTCACCGAATTGGGTCTTATCGGCCAGACGCCCTCATTGCGAAAGACACGTTCGAAATCAGCTGGATTGTGTGTATATAAAGCATCAGGTCGGCCGAACATACCAGGCATTATGTAAATATCGCCATAATCCTCTTGCATCGCCTTCAACAATTGCGCAGAGTCTAATTTATAATATCGGCCACCGGGCAACAATTGCCGTAGAAATTTAAAAACGCCTCCTCTCGGCAACTCATTGAAGGGACGTGCTTGCTGCCACTCCGTAGCAGCATCAGCTGATTTGTCCGTATGTGTGTGTGTGACTGCGTCGGCGGCGGTGCATTTGTATACGTACTGCTGTGGTAATGAGACGGCACGTGTTAGACATTTTGCATGCATATGCATACATTTGTAGCGCAGGGTTTATTCAACCACGCAAATATTTTTATTTTTTTAATCAGAAATTTAAATATAAGCATATAAGATCAGATTATTTGCTCTTCTTTTGTGTACCGCGCTTGTTACTCACATTTTTTATATTCAACCAAGAACTTGCGTTGGCGAAAACGACGCGTTTGCCGAGCGATACACGAATCGGATTGTAAGCACACATTTTGCGTTTACCTTCTCATATGAACTGCACGATACCACTGTTCCTGACAGACTAAAGCTATATTCTGCTACTTCGTGTTGAGATCTACAAAACACCCAAATCCTCTTAAATATTTTTTGTTTTGAAATAAATTTAACCCACTGTGGAACCATACTGTTTACAAGATAATATAACTCTTATATGTATTATGCTATGTTTATTTTCATATTTAATATAAAAGGTTAGGGAATGTTCTACATTCGCCCGAAACCAAACCAAGTAAACGTTCAATAACCTTAACGACTTCTGATGATTTTGTACCGTAAATATTGACAGTGGAATGGAAAAAGAATCCGATCTTCAACAACCCTAATATTTTAGATGGGACCCTTGACAGCCTGTGCTCCTTCACTCCTCACACTACCGCGATTATTGCCAAAGTACGGAGACGCAACAAATCCTCAATAATCGCTAGCTAGCAGTACATGGGGAAAGAAACGTTGTTGGCAACATACGAGTACAAGGCAAATGGCGTAGCTACGCCGCAACAATATGATCGCCCGAATGCAGTGAAACGCAGCCGAGAAATGTTCAGACATGTCAGAACACTGCACTCCAGACTATAACGGGACGCCTGCACAGTGAGGCCTGTATGTTTCCATTTAAGAAGCATAGTGAATTTCTTTTCAAGCGTTTTCTGCTGGGGAGTTTTCGTAGAAAGATAGTCACCTGCTTTAAACGGAATCGCCTTCTAAGAGCATCAAGAGGTTCTTCCTTAACTACGTCGACGACATAAGAAAATACGCCGACCAGACTACGGACGCAATCGAATTCAGACATGCACTGTCCGTCATTCACAGTGGAGTCATAAATACTTTCACTTGAAGTCAAACTACCACCCGTTGCAGATGACGAGTTCGAGTTGCCATGAAAATCGAGGGTGACCCTTGCGCTGCTTCGTTCGGGATACTGTAACAGGTGAAACTCCTATTCTTCCAGAATCGACCACGATATATCAAATTTATGTCCAACATGCAACGAGTCCCCGCATGACTCTAACCACCTCTTTGCTTGCCCAGCAAAAGCTACACATTTGACACCACTCTCCCTATGGTCCGACCCCGTCGAAACAGCAGGTTTCCTGGGCTTACTCTTGGATGACCTCGGTGATAACTTATTTCCCTAACGGTGACTAGATAACCGATACAACAACAACAAAATTGATTTAATGAGTTTTACAAAATAGCGGCTTCCCAATCTTGTTTGAAAAATCCTGTCAAAATCTTAAGTTATTTAATAAAGAATTGGGCGAGTTGAGTTTCCTCCTTGCATTTAATTTTTTTACCCTGCTACGATAGGCTCAACCCTTTAGGTCTTTCAGTGATACCGTTTATATTCCCTTAAATTATCATCTTAGATGCCTAAGTCATCTGCCAATTTTCTGCCTAATGATTCCATGAATTTTTAAGACTGTGTGAATAATGTTTTTAATAATATCATTGGCATTTTCTAGGCATTCGTAGATAACTTTGCGAACAACTCAATTGTCTTAGAGGATTTTCTGTTGAAGAGTCAGACACTTTAAATGTGAAGGTTTTTCGATTTTTTCCGTATTTATTTCATCATTTGAACAGTTATGAAATTAGATCTTATATAAAATAAAAGCAAACCGCAGTATTTACAAATTTCATCAACTTTTACAGTTATATTAAAAAAAATCAACTTTAGTCTCTAATATAAACCTCTTAAAACCACCATTTTGTACAATTTTTTACATTAAACCACTTTTTTGATATAAAATAATAAAATATTGTTTATAGAATCTATTCAATGTCCGTAAATTTAAATTTTAACGGTATATTTGGCATGTTAACAAACAAACTTTTAAATGGTTTATCGATTGGATGATTAAACTCAATTTGGAAATTTCTAACCAATCTGGCAATACCCAACTCTATTTCCAACTCACTTACTCTGCGGCCTAAACAAACCCTCGGACCAAAACCGAACGGTAAATATACAAAAGGATTACTCGGACGCAACGATTTCGAACACACTACGCCAGACTGCTGCTCTCCGCCTTCTTCCATTGCAGCCGAGCGTAGCCAACGTTCGGGTAAATATTCTTTTGGGCGTGCAAAGTAGTTTTCATTCGTGAATAACGATGTGAATACCATATTCACTACACTGCCTTTAGGCACTCTATAACCACTGAGAACCAGATCACTTTGCGTCACGCGTACGATGCCGACAGTCAGAGGATAAATACGTATGGCTTCTTTGATGCAGGCGCGCAGATAGGGTATGTTGTTCAACGCATCGGCTGTGAAATCGCCGTCTTTCTGCGGCAACACACGCATCAATTCCTTCCGTAGAATTTGTTGCTTTTCGGGATTTTTCGCCAGACAAAGTAAAATCGCTGTCGCGAATGAGGTTGTCTGCGATATAATTTAATAAAAAACTAAAACTGATATTTGTAGAAAATATGTTTAATTTTTTACCGTATTAATGCCGGCTAGGAATAGATCTAAGCACATCACTGTCGCTATTTTCTTGTCGATCTTCAATAGTCTCTCAAATGCGCTCATTTCATTCTCCGGCCTCACGATACCCAGTTTCTTTTCGGCCTCCATATTGGCGATTGCTTCGTCTACATATTTCAATGTGACCGTTTGCATGTCGTCTAACGCCTGTAAATAACGTCTGAACTTTGGTGTGCGCACACGACGCCACAGTGAGGGTTTCCACTCCAAGTCAAAGCCGACTGTAAATATGGTGTTTAAGGCGGCCAATAATTTCAGCGCGTCTTCGTAATTTTCACTGTGATCACGCAGCAAACCGAGTTGTTTCCCCAATGTGACAATGGAGAGAGACTCTAGCAGCCAACACTGCAGATAATCTTCAAAATTGTTCGGCATCTCTTGAGTGTTGCGATCGCGTATTGCACGGATTCTGTAGAAGGCGAATTTTAGAATATAATAATCTACGAAGTATAATGAATACTTGCCTACCTTTCGACAAATTCTTGGTTCACTTGCGCCATTTTGCCGAGGTACATTTGCACATTCTTCGGCTGCATTAGTAATGGATTCACGGCCGAGCGGAATGTGCTCCAACGCTCACCTTGTCTGTGAAAATATCACGAAGCAATTAGTATTTCCAGCAAATGATGTACGAACTCACGTCGTTAACACCCCTTCGACTTGCTTAAAGAAATCTGCCTGCAATTTACTGCGATAATAACGTAATGTTGCAAATGGTCTTATCGGCGACACGCCCTCATTTCGAAATACGCGTGCGAAATCTTCTGGATTATGTATCACCACGGTGCTGGGTCGACCCATAAACGCGGGCACTACAAATATATCACCGTGATCCTCTTTCATTGCCATTTCCAAGGCGTTGGAATCTAAATTTTTGTAACGGCCACCAGGTAAAAACTTAGTTAACAGTCTGAAAACGCTATCTTGTGGTAATTCGCTGTATGGACGTGCTCGTTGCCACTCAAGGCTAGCATCTGCAGGCTGTTCCAAGGTAATAGTTGGTTGTGCCGGGCAAACAGGGTCCTCAAGCTGTTGATATACTCTAAATTATTAGTTTTCCTACAAATTTTTGTTTAGGCAGATATTTCTTATTGACGTTAAACATGTAGAAAGTCTACCATATATACATACATTGTGACAAAAAAGAACCCGGATATTCTAAATAAAACGCAATATATTTAATCAATATTTATTTTGCCGGCTTCCACGTAATCTCCACCAGATGACACTTATGCCAACGATTTTTCCGGTCCTCGAAACACTTTTTATAAGGAATTTTTGAGATGGCCATTAGGTCCTTAAGATAATTTTGTTTTATCTCTTCGACATTCTGAAATCGGTTTCACCGAGCGGCAATTCCAGTTTGGTGAACAACATGCGGATCTTAATCTGGTAAATATGGTTGATGGTAGTCATTGCATTTTTGGCTTTAAATTCGGTCACAATCGTCCTCTTTAAAACAAAAATTAAGCTTTATGAAGACGCGTCGTGCAAGACGGCGTTTCATACCCAAAATATCCCAAAATAAAATGGACGCGCGGGAAATGTCAAGCTCTTTGTCCAACTCTCCCACACTTGCCTAATGATTTTCAAGCACCATATACTTCACTGACATTTGACATTTTTATCAGTTGAAGAGGTCGAAGGTCGCCCAGAACGAGACATGTCTTCAACGATCTCTCGACTACCCTAGGCTTGTGTTTTTGTTAAAATTTAATCACCGTAAGCCTTTTCTAACATTCGCAACGGTTCCACACACGAAATTTGGTTAGAAATAAAAAAAAAAATGTTTTTGACAAATTCTTCGTTCGACATTTTCATCCGTGGTAAAAATCGCAGCACACTACTGTTGAGCAAAAGTCTCAACTGAATATTAAGTTAAGGGGTAAGTAGAGTATTCCGGCCCGTTTTTTGACATTTTTTTTTCATAGAAATTTTTATTCTACAAAGAACTTTTTTCACATATCATGAGATATATCGTGGAGTATATAAACAAATTTTGTCGTAAGTTAAGGGGTAGGTAGGGTATTCCGGACTGTTTTTTGAAATTTTTTTTTCATAGAAACTTTTATTCTACAATAGAACTTTTTTCACATATCATGAGATATATTGTGAAGTATATAATCAAATTTTTTCGGAATTTTTTGATGAAATCTGTCGAAGAAATGGTTGGGTGAATGAGATGTGTTTTTTCACTGGCGGTCACGATTTCTCATGTTTGGATCATCTGAAGCACAAAAACCCAATTTATTCTTAAGAAGTACCAGAATGGTTATCGTGCCTATTAGAATCATGAAAAAATGTTGATAAATACTTTTTTTTAGTTTTTCACAATTTTTTTTACATAAATTTTGTCATAACATTGTCAATAAATTATATAAAATTATTAGTCTAATATGGACGATAGCCAGGCGTTTTTTTGAACATTTTAAAAAGAAAATAAAGCAATAATTCTAAGGGTATAAGGACCCTACTGACCCCTTAAAGACAATAACGGAATTTAATTGGTAGTTCAACTTTTCTTAGTTAGCAAGTGTTAGTTTTGACTCTCACTGCGATGAATGTTTTCTCTACTAGTGGCATTGTCTGACACAGACCACTGGCAGCAAATGCCAAAATTCGAATTTTTACAAATTTTTCATCAATATTTCATTAACAAAAGAACATACAGTTTCAGTACTCAACACGCTATAAAGCATGCACGAAGCTATTGTTGAATTGTGGCGATGTTTATACACGTATTTCTTGAACGCTGAACTATAAAATGCCACTTTGCGAACAAACAGGAAGCACAATTCAACCCTTTTTCATGGTTTTGATAAACGCGAGTCCACATATACACATAAAGTTCAATCGAATGTAAACAATAGTAATACTTTTTTAATTGTATCCACCTGTTTTGTTGCCAGCAAACGCTTGCTGATCGCCGTAAAGCTCTTTGTGAGGCCAGCGCATTCGCTAAGCGCAACACAATTTATTTTTGCGTAAAACATTTTGGAATTAGAATATTTTGAATTTAACACGAGCGCTGCTGCAGCTAAACTGGTTTTTCTCATTCGCAAACATTCCCATAGAACCGAATTTGTACATGAAGTACTATATTATATATAATATTAGTATATAAAAAATGCACTTATACAAGACATTATCAACCAAACTGATAGTGCATTTAACTTTTTATTTTTATTTTGTGACTGATTATTTTTCTTTTATATATGTTTGTATAGATACAAATTCATTTAATTTTATGGGATTGTCGGCCTCCGCACACATATTTAATGTACACTTTGCTCTCTTGCATAAAACAGTATTATAAAATAAGAAAAAAATTATCTTCGTTAAAGCACTTCCAATAAATTTGTTTCTCTTAAGCTAACAGGCAACTTTGCTTTTACTTTACAAAAGCCTTTGATAATATCGGAGTGTGTTTTGAGTGTCAAAAGAAGAGATGTTCTCGATCAGTAGAGAGCTATCGCTTGTGCGATAAGCAAGCCAATAATGATGAAGCCAGCTTTCATGTCGATTGCAGCTCATTTTGATTGCAGCAATTTCACTGGATTCCAAAGTTTGCTCTCACTCTCTCACTGCCTATCCTATATAATAAAGAGTGTGTAATCTTTTATTACCCGATCGAAAAGTTTAACATGTTTTAGAAATCTCAATTCAGTACGAATCGCTTCACACCGAAGTAAAGCGCCCAAATAATGTTGCTTTGCATTGAAAATAGTCGTTCAGTTCAGTTAACTCCACTGCCTGACGGTAGCAATGAGTAAAAATGCCATACTTGGAGAACAGAAAATACCTTTGAGATCCATGTAACGTCATTGCATGATCAAAAAGTGATTTGAGGCAGTTTTTTTGAGTACAGATGGTTTCAAAGATTATTATGGCCATCCGCAAATGATTGAAAAATAACTGAACTTGATTAGTGGTTTCAATATGATACAATGACAATCACGCTATTTAGTTTCAGCAACAAAAGTCACCTGAATGTCTGACGTCAAAATGCGGTGGCCTTTACCTTGATAGCACTGATCTACAAATTTCACCTACACTGAGTTTTTTGTAAGGTAATTTGAAAAGAAAACTCTATATCAGTCAACTTCGGATCAATGACGAGCTCAAGATAAATATTCGATATACTGGCCGAGAATATGGTAAAAGTGATGAAAGATGATGGTCAATAACGGTGCGCTTTTATTTCATGTTATTTACAAAGGATCAATCTGTCAGAAGATTTCTAAAAAATATTTTATCTTATTTTTTCAAAGCTATTCAATGCCTACAAGACCGCATAGTAAATTGCACACCCTTTAAATTCGATAGGAGTCTTGATAATTATTCTTACCTCAGTGCAATTCCGTTATCAATTTTGTTCCTAAGGTCTTTGAGTATTATAAAAACATATTACGAATTGTCAACTGTTCATTGATTATAGATTAATGATATTTGTTTTATTGTTTACGATTATATACATTTATATAATATAGTTTAAATTATCAATTAATTTATATACTAATAGTATAATTACTCAATATCGGTGAATTTAAATTTTAACGGTATATTTGGCATATTAATTAGCATACCTTTGAATGCCTTATCGGTTGGGTAATTAAATTCTATTTTGAAATTCCTAACCAATCTAGCTATACCCAAGCCCACTTCCAGTTCACTTATTCTGCGACCAAGGCACACCCTTGGACCGAAACCGAACGGTAAATAAACGAAAGGACTGCTCGCCTTTATCGATGATTGTATACACTCTTCCGTAACCTTCTGCGGCTCATCGATTTCACGCAGCCAACGTTCCGGTAGAAATTCCAGAGGCCGTGAGTAATAGCGCTCATCCGATTGTAGTGGCGCGAAAATCATGCTGACGTACGTGTCTTTGGGCACCTGATAGCCACTCAGTACGAGATCATTTTGTGGTACACGCATATTTCCCATCGCCACGGGGTAAACACGCAAGGATTCCTTGAGACAAGCACGCAGATACGGGGCATGTTTCAGTGGGTCTTCAATAAAAGCGCCGTCTTTTTTTGGCAGCACACGCATCACCTCAGCACGCAATATTTCTTGCTTTTCCGGATTTTTAGCCAAACAGAGTAGGGCGCCGACTGCTAAGCTGGAAGTCTGCAACCGAAACATTTGATGTTAGTGGGTTGGTTAGTTGGAGTGGAATGAATTTGTCTCTTACCGTATCAACGCCCGCCATAAGCATATCCATAGCCATTACAGTTGCTACCTTCTTATTTTTCTTCAGTAATCTTTCCAGCATACTTTGCTCTTGTTCGGCACGTACGATACCTTGCTGGCTTTCCTTTTCCAGCTTTTTAACTGTTTCATTTATATACTTCCATGTTACACTTTGTATATTATCCATTGCTTTCATAAGACGTTTGAATTTCGGTGTGGCTATAAATCGCCACAGTGTTGGTTTATAGTCCAAGTCTACGGAAAGTGCCATGAAATCATTTAAGGCCACAATAAGTTTCAAAGCGTCAGTATAATATTCACTGTCTCCACGCAGTAGTCCGAGCTGCTTGTCAAGTGCCACAACAGCTACAGATTCCAGGGTCCAACGCTGTATGCATTCCTCAAAATCGGCGGACATTTCCAAGGTTTCCGGATTGCGTAACACACGTATTCTGTGAAAACAAAAAGGCCAATAATTTGTGGACACGGTCTCTACTTCCACTTACCGCTCTACGAATTCTTGGTTCACTTGCGCTAATTTGTTGCCATACATTTCAATATTCTTTGGCTGCATAAGCAAGGGATTAACGGCTTTACGAAAGGCGTTCCATTGTTCACCTTGCCTGTAAAATCGACTTTTCTGAAAAAACGCCTTTATATTTCTTATATTCAAACCTACGTGGCGATAGCGCCCTCCACGCCTTCAAAGAAATCAGCACGCCATTTATTCCGATGATAACGTATAGTTTCCGAAAATGGTCGAATGGGCCAAACACCTTCATTGCGAAAGATATTTCGAAAGTCGTCGGGATTGTGCGTCACTACGATATTGGGTCGACCCATCATGGCCGGCAACATGAAAATTGGTCCATAATCCGTACGCATAGTCGTTACCAAGTCCTGGAAATCTAGTTTGGCATAAGCTCCACCTGGTAAAAATTTTTTTATCAAATTAAGTGCACCAACGCGCGGTAGGTCGTTGAATGGGCGTGCTCTTTGCCAATCTAAATTGGGGTCGGGTTGTTCGGGCGTAGCTGTCTGCGGATTTGTAGAAGCGTTGACATGATATTGATGCAGCGATTTCTGTGGAAATTTAATTCAATTTTTTCAAGTATATGTTTAAGTGAAGAAGTTTTAAGGTTTGTTCATGAAGGGATTTTATGCAACTTATCAGAAGTCTACTAAGTGAATCGTCTGTATCTTATTTTGTATTGTCTGTATAAAGACGAACTACTCCTTCCTACACATCATTTTCTCTCCAAGAAGCTGCTCATTTTTAATATTTAAATATGCATTCTACTACAAGTATAAAGTTTATAGTTCACCTGTTCTGTAACAAACAAGCGAATAACCGAAGCTTTCTTTATCATATATTCCCCGTTCCCTCGAATATTTCCTAATAACATTTTTGGTAGAAAATTTAAATAAACTTGTCACAATCACTGCGAAACTTGAACTGAAATTCTTTAGTCCTTACATTGTAGCTCTTGCATATGCATATGATATAGCAGATATACAAGAATAAGAAATGCAAATCTTATGATTATACGCGTTCGTTTATGTACATATGTATACTATACATTAATATATATTTTGATAATATTCGGTGCAGCTATTTTGGTACTCACTTACTTTTACGGCTACCCATACCAGCATTTATCAACAAAAGATGTGTTTAATAATAGCACAGCCATACAGACTCCAGTCCAAGTGAGTTGAAGTGTCTTCTCAATATTGCTAAAAATAGCAATTAATTTTATAGGATCAAACCACGCTCCACACGTTACGCAAAGCCTTTGCCAAAATGTAAAAATATTTGTTCGCATCCACCAGGTTTACAAAGGCCTCTTATTGTTGAATACAGTACATATAGTCGAGTTCTTGATAACTCAGAAGGTGTCAGCCTAAATTGAGGAAACATTTGCCTCAGAGAAACAAAGGCTTTTTACCAACTATATCATAGTTATAATTCTAATTCTTATATATTCTTAACTTGCAAAATTTCGGAGCTGCCAGAAGAAACAGATAGCTTTGTGTAGAAAATTCTAGTCCTCTAAAAAATGCTTCACATTGCCTTCCTAGTCCAGACAAGAGATGCTAAAGGAAATTGTTCTGATACCTATGGTAGCCTATTGTGTGTAACTAAGACGTATAGATTTTGATCTGTAATCAGTTTCACAGCTCTTTAGTTTTCTACATTTCCTTCGTGTATATTTAAGAACCCAGATATAATATTTGATTTTGGGTCTACAATGACTCTGAACCCATTGGAAGTTTTCTATCTATAGTTTGTCTAAACGTTACTCAGCTCATCGCATTTTATTTAATAGTTTTTCAAAATTTAGCTTAAACTTACTTTTCTAAAAAATTCCAAAATGTTAGGATTTAACACTTATATCCACCTTTTCCAAACTATTTACTGTGATTTTCAGTTAAAATGATACAGCTTATCCAAGATGTAATATATTCACAAAGTTTCTCCCGGATTCTAAGTAGGGTAGTAGCCTTGAAGCCAACAGCAATTAAACTCTCCAAAAGAAACTTTATGAGAAAAAAGCACACAGATCATAAACTTCCTAATTAAATTTCAGTTTTATTTTTAGATATTACATTGCTTTATTTATTTTTTTTTTTCTAACATGTCTCGTGAGAACTATTCAATGTCGGTGAATTTAAACTTTAGTGGTTTGTTGGGCAAATTAATCATCGCAGTTCGAAAAACATCTCCGGTTGGATAATTAAATTCTATATGGAAGTTTCTAACGAACCGTGCAATACCCAATTCCAGTTCTAAATCACTAATTCTTCGACCAACACACATTCTGGGGCCGAAACCGAAAGGCATATAGATGAAGGGGTTAATCGGTTTAAGA